ACCCGTCCCAGCGCCCCACAGTGGGTCAGGCCACTTCTCAGCCGCCTGGTGGGCGTTTCCTTGTGAACCGTTGGGCCTTTTCCCTTTGGTTTCGCTGTTCGGGCGTCTGGTGGTCTGTCTTGAGCCCCCTAGCTTCGCGTCTCCCGCAGGTCAGTTGGAGAAAACGTGCTGGGCGCCGCCCCGCGGGCACCTGTGGGCCTGGGGCAGGGCGGAGGCCTGGACCTCCCCGCAGCCCGAGGTCGCGTGGCGGGGAAAGGGGCGGCAGTCACCGCGGGGGAGTCTTCGGAGCACGGCCGGAGCGGGGTTCAGGACGAGCAGGAGCCTTTCCAGGCAGCGAGACTCGCCGATGCCCAGGGGACCTGGGACGTTAGGGGCGCGTGTGGCAGGAGCTCGAGTGCTTGGCAGGCGCTGACCTCCAGGGGTGGAGGGCTCCCTGAGACCCTGCATTGAGGGCTTCATGCCCTCCAGCGGCCCGAGACGTCACGCTGTCCACCAGGATGACCTGCGACCTTTTGTTTAAGTGGGTCAGGTAGTCTCCATTAGTGCCTCCTGACCAAGACGTGTTAACTTACCAGCAGGGCTTGAGCACAGAGCACGCCTTTTGAAGCACCAAGTGGTATTTATGCTGGTCTCACCCCTTCAGGACACATTCCTCGCGCAGGGCTAGTGATCACACGTGGGAGGGCGTTTCTCATTTCTATTGAAGCACCAAGCCCCTGGAAGAAGCAGCACACGGCTGCGTTCTCAGTTGCTGAGTTATGGCTGCAGAAAGTCCAAGGTGCATGTTATAAAAGTTTTGACCCAGTAGAAAAGCAGCCAGAGACCCTCCGTGTGTCAGCACGTCTTTTCCTTGCACCTAAAAGCACCGCACATTCAGCATTGAAAACCAAGAAGAGAATTAAACTTTTCGTGTGTATAACATTTTAAAAATTGACTGTACAAGTCATTTTGGGCTAAGCAAGATTTTCTTTATTTCTCAAATCAGACACACTTTGGAAAAGACATGCCTAGTAGGCTGTTGTTTCACCAGGCACTCTGAAGTTGCTCGAATACAGATAAATGTTGTTCCAGACACGTCTGAGCATTGTGTGGAGTTGTTCATCTTGCTACTTGCCGTTAATTTGGTGAAATACATTGACTGTGCATACTCTCCCTTAATACCTTTTACTGGCATTCCTATGAATTTTAAAATTAAAAGTTAATTTTATTTCAAATCAAGGATGTATCTTCATGGAGTTTTTAAGAAGTCAAATGTAGAAAGGCTTGTAAGGGAAGGTGATGACTGTCCTCCCATCGTGTTTCCTCCCTGCAGAGCACCATGTTGCTCTTAGTGGGTTCCTTTGGTCTTCATGGCATGTGTGCTTGACTGGCTCACCTGTGGCTCTTCTCTGTTCCACACGTTCTCTTCCCTTGACTCTTGAGAGTAGGAGTGAAGCTTCTGGTTTTCTTTTACTCTGTGTCTTTGCCATGCAAATACATGGAGGTCTGAGCAGGTGCGTCCTTAACTTGTTCAGTTCAGCATTTAGTGTTATGACTGTGTAGTATCACCCACAGCTAGGCCAAATGGTGTCATGGGGTCACTTTTCCTTCCCAGGGTAAGTTTTTGTTTTCCATGAAGTTCTTGGGTCTCGTTTGCTTAATTTTCTCCGTATTTTTCACTAAAACTCAACGCCGAATTCGCCAATTGCCAATTTTCAAGAAATTTAGCTCTTTTTATCTGATGAAATTCCGTGTTTTATTAATCTCATCATGAATAAATCTGTCCCAGGCCTCTGTCCCCATCTTCCAGTGTTATTGCTGAAGCCTTGTATGTGCCCGTTTTCTTTTTTCAGCTAGGATTTCACTCCCTGAAATTCAGAACACCCAGTGCGATGATGTCCCTTGGAACACTTTGGGCCCTTTTATTTGGAAATTCCCATTCTTTAATGCTGGGCATTTTTCCTGATTTACTGCTTTCATTTCTTCCCATTCACTTTCTCTTTCTATGTTTTTTGGGGTTTTTTTTTTAGAAGAAGGGAGAGAGAGAGACGATTTTGCCCTGAAAGAACACCTGGCAATGTCTAGGGACCTTTTGGTTGTCATGACTCAGGTGTGCTACTGGAATCCACTGGGTAGAGGACAGGTGTGCAACGTCCTACAGGGCCCAGGACAGCCCCACAGCAAAGAGCTGTCTCGTGCAAAGGTCAGCGGCACTGAGGTTGAGCAGCCCTGCTTTCCTGGGTCAGTCCTCGAAAGGGCTCTAGGATGTAGCCGTCACGGGTTGCCGTTTTTCAGTTAGAGTAGAGACTAATAGGTAAAGCTGCCTGCAGGGGTGGCTGAGTTGGGGCTGTGTCACCTGCACTGTTGGAGTCCTCAACGTCACAGATATCAACAAGGGTGATGGTAATAGAAAATCCTCACTGAACTTGTGTTCCTTAGAATTTTGAATCTCTCTCATTGATTTCAGTCATCAAGCAGGTGTTTTTCACCAAATTCGTATTCATCAGTGGATCCAGGTAAGGAAGTGAACAAATGAGAGTCCCAGTCCTAATGTATTCAGGGCCCAACTCCGTGGTAACCTGAAGGTGACTGCTGTCCCAGTGCGCCACCATCGGGTCGGCTTTCCACTCTGGGCTCTTGTTGGGCTAGAGCGTCTGTCATCCTGTAGCAGCAGCCTAGTTGCAGGGTCTGGCTGCCTGAGCCTGGTCTCCTGGGGTAAATCCCCTTGGTCTCACCTGCCTCCACCCCCAGTGTGGGTCAGAGCCAGGTCATCCATGTGTCTTGACTTGTTTTGGACCCTGTGGTACAGCAGGTAACCCGATCATGGCAGGTGCCCTGTGCTTGTTTTGAGGGGATGAACCGACAGGACAGTGTTGAGTGCGAAACGGGGAATATTCTGAACACTTGTCCTTTTAAGACTTTCAGTGAATTATAATGGGCTGCCAATTCCAGAGCTGCCTTCTAGGTTCTGAGGGATATGTTAGATGTAGAAACAAGCCTGTACAAAGGCCAGCCTCAAAGTGTTGATTTCGTGTACTCCATTTGCCATGGGGTGTGTACAGCCTGATTTGCAGAGCAGCTTTCTCTGGAGGTTTGCATGTGGTTGGTTGGACTGACAGACTGCCAAGAGGCAGAGGTGTGCTGACCACGTACCTCTGCAGGAGAGCCGCTGCTGCTGCGTATGTGCAGGGCTCCGGGTGTTTCTACAGAAATCCTTCCCCCGTTATCAGCATGATCCCTTTGTCTAATAGGCTACATCTCATTTGGGGAGCGTGAGCGCTTCAAATTTCTGAAGCGGAGCAGTAGTTCTTGGCCTTGCTCTGCTAGGTGAGAGCACCCGGCCTAGTGTCCCCACTGCTCAGTCCTCCCATTGACCACTCATGAGCAGGACACATTCTCTTTCTGGCCATGAGGTCAGTGACCACACTTCAAGCTTCTCGACACAGCGCAGGCTAGGCCAGGGCTCCTTTGGGTTTCTTTCTGGAGGGAGAATAACTTCAGCCTCAGGCAGGTGCCTCAGTACATGCCATCTCTCCTACAGAAATCCATG